TCCCCACCAGCAAGCCCACTGCTTCCCTCCCCCCTCCTTCCTCCAGTGTTTGTTTCCCCCATCTCTTCTCCCCGTCTTTGTATTTTGCCCCTTCCATGTCCGATTTCTGAGCTCATATGGGCATTGTTCGAAAAGTAGTTCTGCTGTCTCGTGAGGTGTGAGTGGTGTAATAGGATGACAGACACTAGTGGGACTGACAGAGACATTCCAATGGTTATTATCCTGCAGACGGAATGAATGGTGACACACAAGCGATGCAGCCAACTATTTTGCCTTGATTAACGGCCAAAAAAAGGTTCGCTTGTGTTATCTCTTTCGTTCGGATCTCCAGAATTAGAATTCAAAATAGTGCCTAATTAGAATTCTTGGTTGCATTGCATGTCTGCTAAATATAGCGCTGCCTTGTGGTCCAAAATGATGGCAGTCAAGAATTTGAAGTAGTTAAGCTTAACTTTGGAAGGCTAATAATGGTATAATTAATTTTAGGATTATCTAATTAAGTTCAGTTTTGCAGATTGCTGAATCTAATTAAATATTGCACCGTAGTATGTTACCATTCTTAAGTTTTTGGACATCTTGGACTGGTTAAATGATTGTTTTGCTTACCTTTGTTTGCAGATTGCATGAGATCTTATTTAGTAGAAAGCTCTGTAGATTTATGGCTGGACCAAATTGACAATACTTGGTAAAAAAAAGAAGGCAATAATTGTTAAGTGTGCTTGTCTAGTACAAACAATCACTGTATTGGTTCTACCACTATCGTGATTGTGATCAATATATAGGTGCATTTGCCTGTTATTTTCATCTGTGTCTGCAATGCATACGTGATATAATATATAAGTCCTAGCTCTGTTATTTTTGCTCATCATGTTGGCGGGGCCATATGATAAAAAGTTTTTCCACAGCTACACTTAATACTTCCAATCTCAGTTGAAGACTAGTGAAAACATGTAGTTCTTGGGATCAATGTTGCAGAAATATTAGATGAGGTGTACAAAATTGGAAGGTTGGGAGTCTTAGACAGAAAAATATCAGATAAGGTGTACAAAGTTGGTAGTATAGCTAACAGAAATGCTATCCCATCATGATCCAATAGATGAGTTGTCAGAGCACATTCAGGAACAATGTTCTTATACAAGCCATGAACCTACCAATACAGATGAGTTGATCCAAGGTTCTTCTAAGCGTTCGAGACAGCTCACGTCATTGATTTGGAAGGAATTTGAAATATTATGTGTTGAGCCAGATGGCTCACAAAGAGCACAATGTAAATGGTGCAAGCGTGATTATGCATGCGGTGGAACAACCGGAACAAGCAACTTATGGCGTCATCTTTCAAATTGTAATAAGCGTGGACAATCTGATTTTGAAGAACGGTCTCCAATTGACCAAGGAATTTATCGGGAAAAGATGGGAATTGCTATTGTGAAGCATAACCATCCTTATAGACTGGTGGAGCAAGAAGGAATTCGAGACTTGTGTATATACTTAAATTCAGATGCTTTACCCATTTCGAGAAACACGATAAAGGCTGATATTGAAAAGATGTACAAAAGAGAAAAAGAGAGAGTAAAGACAGAATTAAATTCAATTTCAAGTCGAATTTGCCTTACTGCAGACTTGTGGACATCTATTGCAACAGATGGGTATTTGGCATTGACGGCTCATTTCGTAGATGAAGATTGGATTTTACAAAAGAGGGTTCTAAATTTTCACCACATGCCACCACCACATGGTGGTCCAATATTAGCTGAAAAAGTCATAGATTTATTGAGAGATTGGGCTGTTGAAAAAAAAGTTTTTACTATCACATTGGATAACGCATCTTACAATGATGGTATGGTGAATCTGTTGAAGCAGCATTTGAGGCTAAGAAATACACTATTTTGTGAGGGTGAATTTTTTCATGTAAGATGCAGTGCACATGTGCTAAATTTGATTGTCCAAGATGGTGTCAAAGTTATTTCCAAACCAGTCTCAAAGATCCGAGAGTGTGTAAAATATATCAGAGCTAGTGAATCAAGAAAGTTGAAATTTGCAGAGTGTATTGTTCAAGTTTCTCTGCCATACAATAAGAGGGTGCATCAAGATGTCCCAACCAGATGGAACTCTACATTTGTGATGCTGGATAGTGCACTTGAATTTAAGCTTGCCTTTCATCAGTTGCACGTGGTTGATCGCAACTTCAGCAGATTTTACCCAACTGAAGAAGAATGGCTTAAGGTGCAGAAATTTACAACACTGTTGAGGCCTTTTTATGACCTGACCACCTTTTTTTCGGGGACTAATTATCCAACTGCAAATTTGTATTTTCATGGTGTCTGGAAAATTCAAAAAGTTATCACGGAAGAGGTCAATAATTTAGACATTGAAGTGAGTGAAATGGCCAAGCAAATGAAACGAAAATTTGAGAAGTATTGGGAATGTTATAGCTTGATTTTGAGTTTTGCCATCATTTTGGATCCGCGTTTTAAAATGGATTATGTGGTGTATGCTTTTAAGAAGCTAGATCCTTTTGATTATGAAGAACGTGCTAATGAAGTTCGGGATAAATTTTATTTACTATTTGAGGAGTACGAGAATACTTTTGATGGTGATTTGCTAGATGGATCAATAGCAGGCTGCTCTGGTGGTGATTTGGGCAATGACAATGATGATTTTGCTGAATTTGAGAGTCAACAACATGCAAACAAGAGGAATAAGTCACAAGTAGACTCTTATTTGGATGATACTCGACTCCTTTCAACTCAAGAATTGGATGTTCTCAATTTTTGGAAAGAAAACAAAAATCGATACCCTATTCTTTCTTTGATGGCACGGGATATTTTAAGTATTCCTATCACTACAGTGGCCTCGGAATCAGCTTTCAGTATTGGTGGTAGAATTGTGGGTAAATATCGTACTTCGCTCCTATCAGAAAATGTGGAGGCCTTGTTATGTACTAGGGACTGGTTATATGGAGTAACAGGTTTGTTATACTTAACCTTTCAGTGCACATGATCTTGTATTTTACTTTTTTGGTCACTTATTGAATTTACTTTTGATTTCAGCTTCTGAAGATAATGAAGATAAAGAAAGACTGAGTATTGACTTTGCACCTTTAGTTGCTAAACTTACTAACCTTCATATTTAGGTAAGCTGTATTCTCATGATCATGGAGATTGTTAGTAATGTGGTGAAAAGAATTTTATCTTTCTGTCTAGATGAAATTTAAGTAGCAAAAAACAGAACTTTGAATTTGGTTTTGGTTTTGGTTGCCAGGAATCTTCTCTATTTTGTGTTGAGCCAGCAGCAAACTTTTAGGTTGCTATCTTTTTACTGTCAAGTGGATATTTGTATTGTCACTGGCACTCCTTCAAGCTGCTTACTTCATCCCGTCTTCTAATCAGAATCCTAGTCATATTGAGCTGGCTGCGCAAAGGTTTGAAGAATAATACTGAGTTCAGTTTATCAAGAGAACACATGAGCAGGCATGGTATAGAAACTTATGGCAAATAATTTGCTCTAATAGTACCACCGTCTGCATTTGGATTTTGCAGAGACCAGGCCCTGAGAGTCAACTTCTCTCGTGCATCTCGCTGTCCTGTGGCAATGAAAACCATTCTGGCTGCAGTTTTTTCTTAAAGAGTTTCTTTTGACTTTATCATATTTACATTTTCAGTTTCTTGTATATCTTGTATAATCTAACCTACCTGTGATTACTCATAGTACTGTTGAGTAATTTACATATATTGACTTCAGGTTGATATTTGTATGCTAAATGAAGTGATTGCTAGTCTTCATAAGGATTTTTAACTATTTTTTATGTTAAGTATTTTTGTTTTATTTATTATATTTATTTGTTGGTTTTATCTTATCGCTTTATTTCCTTGTAATTTATTAATTTGATCATTTTTTAGCATCATCAATTTATGACAAATTTTAGCTTCCTTTCGTACCTTTTCAAATGAAATTTTAAAATGCTAGGGGTTCAAAGTTTTGGATTAAATTTTTTTTTTAACTTTCATATTATTTAGTCCAAATTTTTAGATTCTCATTGTTCAATTATTAAATAATATGTAATTTTGCAACATGGCACGCGGAAGGAAAAAAATTGATAATTAGACTTATTTGGCATAATAAGTAAATATTTAAAATTAATGATGGGTGTAAAATGATATAAATTGATAATTTAGTTTACAAAATGAATTTATATGAGCTTGTAAAAAATTAGAATAAATGGGTTATAAATGGATAATTGGGTTACCCAATTCATTTTTTGACTTACCCATTTATACCCATCTAATTAAATGGATATAAATGGGTTGACTCATTTATACCCATTACCCATTTTACCCAACCCAAACCCGCCCAAATCACCCATTTTGCCACCTCTACCTCAGCCAAAGCAACACATATGTCCCATATAACGGAATCAAGATATCAATATTTAGTAGTAAAGTTTAACCAAAAAAAAAAAAAAAGTTTTGTGGACCTGCATATGAAAATTCATACATTTAATTAAAAATAAAAGATAAAATTGATGAAAGCCCTACTTTTATGGCTATACGTATAATTAGGTGCTAATTAACTTTTTACAATTATAACGTTTGAAGAAAAGAAAGAACTAGCACCAAAAACCTCATCTCTTTTTTTTTTTTGGAAAATAAGCACTTATACCATTGCAAGGGTAGTTTGGGAACATTGAATAGAGTTTAAAATAAGAATAGTTAATTTATCTGAATGATAGGCGAAGTTTTTGTTGCTATCTAACAAACAAGAGCGGAGGTCCCTATTATTCTGAAATCAAAGATGAGTCAGTTAATATGATTTACCCTCAATTTCATATCATAAAGATACACTTAATTTATAACATAGGCATTCGCACCAGGAGTACAACCTACAATATAATGCGGATGGTTCCTCTCAGGACTTTGACTAGAGAGTTGGACATTTCCGCAAGTATTTGAAATAATTATTATAACACGTGATCTAAAAAGATGATTAGCAAGATAAGCAGGTAATTGAAGAAGCATGTTAGCATTACAATTACAAATACTTTTCCAAAATAATCACAGATCCAAACATACCTAAATCAATGAAGAGGAGCTCTGATTTGGTTACAGTGAAACATTCCGCAGATTGGTAACCCACCGTTTGCAGGACACAAAAACATAAGCCCTCTAGATCAAATCCAGAAGAAGCATTCTTATTAAACATAGGCACTTTATATGACAAGCAAGCAAGCGAAGGCAAAAGCATCCTCACTTAGAATTGCTTAATACAGTTAAGAAAAACATATCGGCCACTTCAGACGTCTGACAACAACCATGCAGCGATCCTAAAAGTACCAAGGTCATGCCTAACCTAGATACGAATCAAGACTGTAGCGGTTCCATGTGATTCAAGTGGAAATAACCTTCACTATTCCTGTTAACCTCAACCTTGAATTTCTCCTCTCTCCCCCCCCTTCTGACCTTAAGATGCAGATCAAACCTAGCAGATTCTTCAGCAACCTGTTGAGGGAAACGGCATGCATTAAAAACTTAACTAATCAGAAATGAAACACAATCACGAATGAACCTTAAGCAGTAAGGAGGCTAAACGGCCAGCAAATGAACCTGCATTAGCAAGAGCATAGTTGACAAACTTGATTAAAAGACAGAAAGATCAACACCTTCATGAAGAAATGCAGATGAGATATTTTTTGAACCACAATTTGAAATTGTAAATTACTAAGGTTGAGGCACCGGGACCTTGAGGTCTTGGGTTCAAATTCCCCCTTCCTCTTCCCCACTTCTCAAGTCCCACCCCACCCAACCCCCCCCCCCCCTTCCTATGAAAAAATTAAAAAAAAAAAACTGAATCGAGACATATTTTCAATGTCACTATCCATGCATTTACGAGACACTAGTCATTTTAACATTACCTTACCAGAAGTGCTTTAAAAAGTACTGTTCCTAAAAAAAAAAGCAATTTTTCTTGACTTTTTATTACAATTAAAAAGGCTAACTTAGAGAGACATGATTACCAATCAAATGCCATGAGTGACAGACTAATGATAATTAGTCACCACATGTTACAGAAAAGATTGACCGCACGACTGCTAGGGTTCATTACTGAAACATCTTTAAGGGGGGCAAAGATGTTTTTGCAGCCAAAAAGATCCAAAACAAAATATAGGAAAACAAATAATCAGATGAATATCCATCATTTTCCTCTCTTACAGCAAAGCAAAGACAACAAACAGAAAGGAAGAAACTGCAACATGAACAGAAATGCCAATTTAGGGGACCCATTGTAAATTCGTTATCAATCACCAGCAGCTAGCACAGCTTAGATACCACAACTTGCTCCATCAAGATAACCAACATGCAAAGCCAGCACCCTATAAAGACAATCCATTTAATGCATCCCGCCCTACATAATTTATAGGACCTCCTAACAAGAATGCCAACAACAATTTTTATCTTCAGGATAACTCAAACCATAGCCAGCCAGACAAGCAATCTGACTGATGAAGGCTGTGATACTGGTCATACCAGTACTTAACAGTCTGCTTCCAATAGTAAAGTTAACCCCCCGCTGCAGGGTAAGCAGGTAAAAAAATCAGCAAGATATATTACATTAATTGGTTGTCCCAAAGAAGAGCAGGGTGAAGAATTAACATCTAAACAAAGGAAATGTAATTCACTAGAAAATTCAATAGCAGATATCTGCAGACAATACCTGAGAAAAGGGAAATGAAAAGAGATAAATAAAGAACACTTTCCAAAACCAGGCATTCCTAAATGCTACAGCACACTCAAAGAAAAGAATGCCAAAGAGTGCTCTCTTCAATACTCATAAGAGGAAAGATGCTGCAGAGTCCAAGCAACTCGCAGTATCAAGTCATCCTGATATCCCATGTATAAATCACTAAATACAAGAAAAAGGGTACTATAAAATATCACAATTCCATATCAAAAGACTTCCAGAAATAACCTACTAGCAAAAGCAATGTCGGACATGATGTTGCACAAATCCTATTAGAGAGGTATTTAAATATCTGCAAGCACCTTTGAATAAACCAGATTCATATTAATCATCTCACTTCTTTGGGAGGAAATTGGACAGCATACAACAAATTCAGCAAACCAATGTTCGAAAGAAAAAGACTCACTGTGATAAAAAAATTAAAAATAATCATCCACCAGATGTCAGGAAGATACCTCAGCATTTGCATGAAGTATCTCAAGAAGCTCATAAGCAAAAAGCGAGTTAGATCTCTGCTGGATGGTTGCAAGCGCATGGTTTGCAGCATCTTGGACAATCGGATCATGTGCTGGCACTGATTGCCATCCCAAGCCATGGCCATCTGAGTTATAGACCAAGTCATATAAAGTCAGATAACAAGCACTTCCATATAGGTTTAAAACCTAGAATATGAACGTCTCCCATGAACATAAATACATCTTCAATCTACACCTTTTTAAGCAATGGGGCAAAATTGCCAAAGCCAAACCTCTGAACAGGAGAAAACCCTAATGTAACACAAGGCCAACAATCAAAAGGAAGGAAGCTTAATACACTTCAATTACCATAATTCATCCAGAATATGCACCAAAAACAAAGAATCAATTACTGGCATGGCGCTAGAAGGACACCTAGATCTTTAATTTCTTACTCCTATTCACTGTAATCATCACTCCGTACCTGACTTCTCCCAAATTAGTTATGGCAGCCTAGTGTGAAAGGCATGAACTCATCCAGCCAAAATGCTTTGCCATGTCAAGTAAGCAAATAATACGAAAGTGATTGCAGTGCTGTGCTTAACAGCAACAAGTTGAAATAGGTTTTCTCAACTTGCTGGTTAACTTGACTACAAACCAAAAACGCAGGTTTACCTCCGTTAGGTCCATGGAATCTAGCTTAGTAAGGTTGTTTCTAGGAAAATTGAGTTTTCAACAGGGCTAAAAATGCTAATAACTAATTATGCCTCGCAAAATAGACTTTTTGCACTGCTCTTTCGAACTTGAGTTGCCTAGAGATTTCATGTTTCTTTTCACACCACTTCCTCACTGTTTCACATGATGGATCATCCTCCTCCTTTTTTTCCCATTTGTTTTTTTGTTTTTTATTTGCATAACTTTCTCCCAAACATGGCCACACTCCACGCAATGTAAGTAGTTCCTCCTGAGTTCATTACATTCCTCAAGTTTATCTCAGCCCACCGATACGATGTAATTCAAACAAAAAGAGGATTTAAAAGCTTTAGGATTGCACATTAAAATAGTCTGAGGTAGTGTTTTAGCACTGAAAGAAATGAACTAAAACCTCTCTCTCTCTTCCCTATCCCTTCCTAACTCCCCAAAAAATACTTCATTGGCAACATGTGCATGTGTCTCAAATCTGTAATTTGTTATTGTTTCTATTATTCTTCTGTTTCCGCATTTCCCTAATCTGTAACCAGAGCATTTGTATCTCATCCATCTTCTTTTGTTGGTTTTCCTTTTTATACCATATCAGAGGAGCTTACTACTTTTGAAGCCCATTTACAAGTCCAACCCTCAACAGGCTACAGTTATTTCCACATAACTGTCTATTTGACGAGCCAACAAACAAACACCCCAAAACACAGCACTGAGTAAAGGAACAGCTCGAGTAAAAGTGTGTTAAAGTCTAAATGACAAACATACCCCAGGCCATGAACACTCTTAATCAACTTACCTCTAGAAAGGTTTTAAGATCATAAAGAAGTGAACAAACAACGAAAAAAGAACTCAAACCTTTCTTGATGCCAAGATCAGAGGGAGTAAAAGAGGGAATGTCCTCAACATGCTTGAATTCTTGCAGTTCTTTAAAGTTTAACCAAGGTTTCACCCACACCTTAGCTTCATACAGCTTTTTCTTTCCAGCATCAATGACCTCAAGAGTAAGATGGTGCAGTGTCCCAGCAACAACTTGTTCTCGTGCTTCAACCACCCTCACCAACTCAAACAATGCATTCTGTCAAACAATTTAAAGGAGTCATAGGCATGTGCAAAGATTCTATGCATGAGCAATAAAAACCTGGTTATTAATCTGCCTTCACACTCGTTAAACACCCATGCTAAAAATAACATAAAGATTTTGAAAATATCACAGAAAAACTGAAAAAAGAAAGTCAGCATTCACTTTTAACTACAAATATTGCTAAACCCATCTTATATGCTAGACCTCTTAAAGTATGACTTGCACCTAGAATAATGGTACAAAAAAAAATAATCAACCTGCTACTACTAAAACAATCTTAGCAAGTAGCATACACAACCAAAAGTAGTGTACCCTGTGTCCTTGAATAATAAAATTTCGCACATCTTGGGAGATCTTACATATGAAGCTTTTCTTCACCAGCCATTTAGCTAAGTAAAAAGTAAATAGAGAACTGACAAGTTGGACATGAAATTGGATTTAACATCCAAAGCTAAAAGTGACAACAGGACACATAAAGAATGTCCCAATAATATTTAAAAAATGCAAAACAAAAGAGTGGATAAAAAATCATGCAGCAACCCAAAAAGAAAGGTTAAAGAATACTCTGTTGCAAGCCATTTTTTGTCTTCCTGTTGAGGCAAAGGAGGGCTCGGCACCATTAAATTCCCAGCAAGAATGAAAAGACAGTTCACTTGTATAGACTGTGCGGTGTTACTGATTACTGATTGACAACCCCAGCTAGAACTCCTGACATGAAATTTTGACTAGTTTTTCATCTTCTTCAAGTGAACCCAAAACAGCTCATGCAGAGATGTTGTGGCTAAATTAGAAGACAATTGGTATGCCACTCACAGCACCAAGTCATTAAAAAGTTCCCCCTCCAACAACCACACGAGTTATGGTTACCCATTGAACAGTTTAAGCAAGATATGGGCAATAAGATGCATATGCAGAAAGGCAATTGGGTATTGGACGGGTTGCAAGTAACTTACAACAATACTACAATGACGAAACAGCGAAAATGAGCAACCAATTAAAGGAATAGAACTCTTATGGCTCAATGTTAAAACTATAGCAAATACAATTAGGAAACAGGGTAGAAATAAACGGAATTGCCCAAAGACTAAGTATGTATGGAGATGTTTTCTGCCTTATTTGAATGGAATATCAGAGAGTTAGGCTTTGATTTCCATCCCAAATGCAAGGAGCTACATTTGTCCCACCTTGTGTTTGCTGATGATTTGTTCCTTATCCCTGCTGCTACACCTAAATCTTTTGAGGTAACGAAGAGGACTGTGCAGGAGTTTGGAATTATGTCTGGTCTTTTACCTAACATGCAGAAATGTCAGATCTTTATAGGTGGTTTAGATGTGCTGGCAGCTAATTCTCTGTGTAATGTGATGCAAATGCCAGGGGGTGTGCTGCCTGTAGTCGGCCTCAGTGACCCAACAGTGCCGAGTGGAAGGGCCATTGCTCAACGGATAAAAGATACCTTTAATTAGTTCCAGATTATCTTATAAAAACTGCCAAACAATCTTTATAAAATTGGAGCAAAAAATTAAGAGCTGGGCAAACAAAATATTGATCTATGGTGATTGTTTACAATCGATCCAATCTGTTCTGTCTGGAATATATCTGCACTGGTGTAGCGTGTTTTATCTTGCCAAAATTAGTGATCCGTAAAATTAACAGTATTTTGGCTTCTTTTTTATGGGCTGATGAAGTGAAACAAATGTATGGGGCTCGAGTTTGCTGAAATGAAGTTTGTACTCCAAAGAAAGGAGGAGGTTTGGGTTTATACAATATCGAACTGTGGAACAAAAGCCTGATAATGAAGCTGATCTGGAATATTAGCAACAAGAAGGATGCATTATGGGTTAGATGAGCGCAAAGAATTCTTTTGAAGAACCAATCCTTGGGTAGTAAATATTCTGAATGATGCATCATGGGTTTAGAGGAAAATTTTTAAGATCTGGAATCTAGCTCAACGTTTTATTCCTCATATTGTTGGCAATGGTACCAGGACTAGTTTCTGGTATGATGCTTTGGAACCCTCTTGGGCTTTCGTACAAATGTTTCACTGAAATCTCTCACACAGCTTCTGTTGTAGACCCTCTACTTTGGTGTCTGAGATCATAGTAGCCTATAGGTATAAAGGAAACAGCAGAGGTAAGGAAATTAAAGGATGCTAGTCCTCAAGGTTTGGTCCCCTTAACTGAGTTTAAAGATCAGGTTGTGTGGGGCTTTCAATGTCAAGTCTGCCACGAAAACCCTATGTGAATCAAGGGACAAAGTGGTGTGAACAAACTTGGGATGGGGAAAAGGGTATGTTCAAAGATATGCATTTATACTGTGGCTTCTTTGCAAGAGGAAACTATCTACTATGGACAGGCTTCGAAATTGGGGTATAGTTATGCCATCTAGCCTATGTGTGTTCAGTGGAGGAGAGGAGGAAAATATGGAGCACTTGTTTTTTAACTGTTGCAGACTTGCAGGATTAGACGAGTGCGGACTAAGGTCGAATATGTGTGACTTTTAGAGGATCATACTAGGGGGATGAGGATCATACTCGGGGTCGAATATGTCTGGGCCATTGGTGTCAAACGTTTTTTCATCTTTTGCAAAGCAGTTGAAGAGATTGTGTTTAGCTGCTACGGTGTATCACATATATACGGAGATTAAGAAATGCCGTCATTTTTTTGGTCTCGTGGATGTGTTTCGATTTCTGGTCTCATGGAGCCAATTTTTGGTCAGGCTTTCCGAACTGGGCTCTGGTTCTTGAGTCGGGGTTAGATTGGGAATGTCTTGGATAATAGAATAGGAGAATAGTGGTGTGTTGTGTGGGTGCTGCCCTTGTGTACAATCCCAATTGCTCTGAAAACTCACTACGTATGGTATGTAACTATGTAAAGACAGTAAAGTTTACCTCTTTCTTGTTGTGTTCCTGGATAGCAAATCGAGCAAGGGCGTCAATCTCAGAGTTATTCTGCTGCGATGATGGAGAAGTAGAATCGTGTAATCCTCCGACAGTTGCCATCCGAATCAGTTGATCTGCGAATTCTTCCTCTTCTTCACCGCAAAACCCTAAGTTGTGCTGTTGTTCTTGTTGACGACAATGAACCTCGGATAGGGAAAGCAGACGCTCACCCAAAGCAAGCAGAGTGCTGCAGAGGACAATTATGGCAATGCTGGCGAGTTGTCTCCTCTTCATTAAAATTAAAATTTTGAAATTTCACACCACCGCAATAAGTTCATCTGTCCTCCTGTTTTTTCTCTTACTTCCTGGTAGCGATACCCATGACCCATCCGCCGCACCGCCCCAAATTTTGCCATTACAACAAGGATAATTTCAGAAACCTCCTTGAGGTTTTCAACAATTTCACTGACCTCCCTTGAGTCTGTAAAATTAAACTAAACTCTCCTAAGGTTAAGTTTTCGGTAACAAAATCGGTCCAAATCATAAAATGTACCATTACATTTAGCAGAGAGATAAACTTTTTATTTCAAAAATGCCCTCTATGCTTGTGTACAAGTTGTATTGTAAGGAAATGAAAAACGTATTCATGAAAAACGTATTAATAAAAGTGAGGAGGGTAAACACATATAAAGGCAACAAGAAGCATTATAATGGATCTCATTTTCACTTAAATAAGCAAATTTTGAGAGGGGGGGGGTGGAATAGTGATTTTGTATAGATTTCTTAAGTTGAAGGTGAAGTATAGGTGTAGAAACTATGATCTTGCCGAGCTATAAGGAAAAATCATAAAATTTACCCACATCCTTTAGCACCAATAGCAAATATTGCAAGTGCAATCGCAAGGTAATTGTGAAAAAAAAATCCAGACAAATTGTTGTTTGGCGTATTAGTTTCTAAGGGTGAATAAATATTTGGTGTATCAATTGGTACCATTTTGTAATTGCAGGTCACTGTTCACATTAAAAAAATTCCAGCAGATATTTTCATTAATTAATTATTAAGTGATAATTAGTACTCTAATTATCAATTGTCGGATATTAAATTTCAATAAGACACAATATCTTAGGGTATACGAGTAATTTTTCCCTATGCGATGCAACCAATTGGACTCACAATGCTGCCAAGGGATGTTAGTGTTATTTTATAAACCTCAACGTTAATTTTTTTTAAAAAATTTTTTATCAATGATTCAACCCATTATCAATTTGATGAAATTGGTACAGACTAAGGAGATTATTAAAATTAAAAAAAAAAACCTGAAAGGTATCCAATATGGTCCGTGAAAGCATAAATTTCCCTCCTCTATTCTCAACAGCTATGGAAGAAAATTACATTTTTTTTATTTGCAAGCTTGTCACTAATGATTGGGCAACCAAAACACTTGAAAAGTTAGAAAATTAGTGATTTGGCAAATTATTTGTCCCAATCTACATCAAGGGGCCAAATAGTGAAACAAAAACTTTGAAAGTGTAATTTAAGGAAAAATCGTTCAAAACGTCCATCACATTTTGTAAAATGATTTTTTTCGTCCCTCACTTTTAAAAGTGTAATTTTACATCATTTACAAATTTATATTGGTCAAATTTGGTCCCTACCTAGGTTTCCGACTATTTTTTTGTCGAAATTCATCACGTGACTTGCATGTGATTATTTTTTAGGGGTAAAATTGTCAAATCAAAATTTACATAATCCATCTATAATCCCTTACATTTCACAAAATAAATTTTTCATCCCTCGCATTTCACAAAATAAATTTTTTCATCTCTCATTGACCATGTACACAAATATATATTTTTTTTAAATTTATGTATATATCTATTTGATTTCACCTAAACAATATGAATAGTATGTAATATATCTCTATTTTATTTCACTTAAACAGACTAATTATAGTTGTACACATGCTATTCAACAGATATATACATGAGTTTAAATCTAATAATTTTTTTTAAACCCATATATTTATATTTGATTTCACCATGTAAATTTATTTAATATTTGCAACCTTTTCTATTTTTGTAATAATTCATTTATTAAGTTGCATAATAAGACCATCTAATTAATCAATGTTAATTCGAATTTTATAGTCATGCTAACAAATTGCAATTTAAATCTGAAATTTTTACTTGCTACCTTTAAGATTAATAGTTGAATTTCTTACCTTATGATTATCTTAAAATTTAAAAGTGCCAATCACTTACTTCATTTGGTCATACTTTTCCTTTGTTTATTTTTTCTGTCCAAATTTAATTCGATATAAATGCTTGATAATGTTTAGAATTAAATATTTTCTTTGTTTTCAATTTTTGAGTAAAAGGAATGAACATGAGTAAAAAACTAATAAATTTTTTTAAACCCCTATATATATCTATTTTAATTTCACTTGAACAGTGTTCAGGTGAAATGTTCAAGTGAAATTAAATAGAGAATACTATTCATATTGTTCAGGTGAAATCAAATAGATATATATTAATTTTAAAAAAAAGTTATTCGTACACATGATCAATGAGGAATGAAAAGTTTTATTTTTTAAAATATGAGGGACGAAGTAATTCATTTTGTGAAATGTGAGTAACTATGGATCGGATTATGTAAACTTTGATTTGACAATTTTGCCCTTAAAAAATGATTACAAGCAAGGCACATGGTGGATTTCGATTAAAAACTAGTCAAAAACCTAGATAGGGACCAAATTTAACCAATGTGAATTTGTAATGGATGTAAAAATATACTTTTAAAAGTGAGGGACGCAAAAAGTCATTTTGTAAAATGTGAAGGATGTTTTGAACGATTTTCCCTGTTGTGTAAGCCTTTTATTGAACAAACTGTACATTAGTAAATTTAGCGAGGATACAGCTAAATTTGCATGTTGTTTGAGTTTAAGTCAAAGGGTTAAGGAAGTAGGTTTTCCATCAAGAAGCTAGAAAACAATCATCTTATAAATGAAGGAAATAGATGTGGAAAAAAAAAGAGAATAAATTACCTTTTACCCCCTATAATTTAACATTTTACCACACAATCCCTATGGTTTTAAAAACCTACATGTAATCTACTCATAATTTGGGTTAAAGTGGCACGATTTATTTTTTCATTAAAACTAACGGTCAATTGTAAAAAGTCAAAGTCACCCTAATAATTTGTCAAATTCACCATACCGCTACTTTTTCTTTTCTTTTCTTTTCTTTCTCTCAATTTTTTTTTGGAAGAGAAGAGAAAATTTTTAAAACCTATACTTTGACCTACAAAATTTTAATTTTTTTTTCAAATACAAAAGAGTCAGAAGATAAATAAAAAAATAAATAAGAAACAAAAAAAAATATCATTATAGGTTTTTAAATCAAAATTTTTAATGATCTTTTCTAGTTCTTATTTATCTATTTTTGTTTCAATTTCTTCTCTTTTATGTTTGGAGGAAAAATAAGAACTAATGAAACAGTAAATTTGTTAATTTAGTATTTTGATTTTGATTTTGATTTTGTCCAATTCACCATTAGTTTTAATAAAAAAAATTAACGATAATACATGAACTCAAATTATAAAGGGGTTATATATAGATTTTTAAACCATAAGAGGATTATGTGGTAAAGTACCAAAAAGGTAAGGAGATAAAAAGTAATTTATCCAAAAAAGAGAGAGCAACTTCAGATAACATTTGATTGGTGAATTCAGCATCCACTACTCATAAAGCTTTTGGATTGCCATTTTTCTAAAAAAAATGAAAATAAAAAAGTATTTTGTGAACAGATTTTTATTTTACATTTATCAAATCGTTACATTCTATTTTTCTTAAAAAACTTTAGAAAAATGACAATTCAAACAGATAATTATCATAGATTCTTTATTCAAATCTCTTCTATGTTATCCAAGAGCATTGCTTCGGGATTTAAGTCAAGATGTTCTTGGTTTTTTGGTTCAAAAGAATTAAGTCAAGGCCAACCCCTTTATCTCCATCAATCCCACTCTCACCATTTAATCCCGTTTTCGCCACCTCTATCCCCTTTACCCTATTCCTAATCTTTCTCCTCCCTTCTAACTTAACCAGCCACAAGCGTCCCACTAACCCTTCCCAGCCAACCGTTAGCTCTCCATATTCCCTCCTTCCCTTTCTCTTATCGCTGATCTCCACTCTCTACAATAGCAGATCTACCACATTTTTTTACTGTTAGCTCCCTCCTTCCCTCCCTCTTATCGCTGATCCCACCCTTCACCATAGCAAATTTAGATCTACCACACTTTTTTTTAACCTTGAAACCTACTTTAGGTACACTAGTCATTACCTTTGTACAAAATCCGTACTAATCCGTACTAATCCGTACTAATCACTTGATGCCGTCCTAAGGGGGAAGGGGCTCTAAAATTGCAGTGCAAACACTTTAAGAGCGAATGATTATGCCAGCACAATTTTCGAGCATTTATTATTTTTAGTGTTTTTAATCTGCTTTTGTTAGCGTCAATACTGCACTACGCAATTATCAGTGATATTTGTATAAATAATTGATCCGTTCTAAAGCAATGGTTACCAGCTGTGACTCTGCCCCTTGACATCACTAATTCGATATCCTACTTATCTTGCAAACCAGCGCTTTCTACAAGCGGAGAAAGCCGCGGCCATGCTGATCACATCACAGTTCCTTTCAACTTCAAATGAAAAAGGAAAAAAAACAATCAAAGCGATACAATATTAAACTACCATTTAATACAACTTTTCTATCGTCCTACAGCACTCCATCGGAATCAAATACCTAAAACCGGTTCAATATATTCCGAGCAATGGTCATCAGCAAGCGCTTCTCTAGATGCGATGACCCTTTTACCAGCATAACTCCTCTTCATTAAGGACCGGGTGGCCAGTTCATCTCGTATTTAAATCTAACTCTCCCCCACCATGCCACTCACTCTGCATGGCTGCATCTCCGTTCTCTGTTTCCTCGTCATTCAGGAAGTCATCCGATGGCTCCTTTTCATCTTTCTGTCCATTGTTACCCCATCCATTAATCAACTCCTCCGTATTAGCAGCCTGGTCCTGCTCGGTCATACTGGTACTTTGAGATACAAGAGCACTCGCCCGTATAGGAGCTCGAACCATCATGTCAGCATGAGCCTGTGATTCTGCCCGAGCTTGCTCAGCTTGCACCATGGCTGCTATTCGCAAGTTCGACTCGTGTGTTTCTCGACCTGCCTTTTGCCTCAAGTCCATTTCTGCTCTTAGTTCGAGGAAAGCCCGTCTCTCTTCCTGTAGGAGTAATTGCTCAATCATCAGCTTCTCCTCCGTCCGGAATTCCCCTAGATCTCGCTTGCGAGAAATTATGTTGAAAGCCAGGACTTGCTTCTCGAATGT